ATTAATTTTCCTAAAATGCTACTTGTGTTATACTAGTCCCCTACTCAAAAACCTCCATTGGTCCTCTCTCTCTACTGAATAAGTCCAGTCCCAATGATGTCTGGCATTCATAGGCCATCTGTACTCTAGGACCAGTCTACTACTCCAGGCTCATGAACTATGCCCCTGTGTACCTTCCATTCCTATTAAACTGAGCTATCTACATTTACCTGCCTCTGTTATCTATGTGGTGTTTCTCAATCCATTGTTCTTTCCTCCTGCTCCAAACCTGCTCAAATACCCTTCCTTCAAAGCATAATTCAAATCCTACCGCAAAATCATTCTACCCTTCCCAGAAGTCCTAAAAGCATATCTCAACTTACCTGATATTTATTTGCTGCCCTAAGTTATTACTTACTTCAAATAAACTGAAAATTCCTTGAGGGCAGAAAACAATTTACATTACTCTCTACCAATGGATCCAGTACATAACAAGGGGTAAACACAAAGAAGATTTATGTGTGTGTATGTATGTAATATTTATATATGTACACACACACTTTTTCCTGAAATAGCCAGATAACTAAAACAAATGTGTTTTCACCCTTATTTATGTCAGTAATAAAACACATTAATTCTATGGACACAACTTGAATGCTGTAGGAACCACAGAATGACAATCCACAAAAACCTCTCCATCTCCTATTACACTTTTTTAGGACTAGTATACTAGAAAAACAACACAATACAAGTACAATTTTTCCAATGGTCAATGTTATCAATGTAGCTACACTGGCAACTATTAAAGACAAATGTTACTAAACCCAGTCAAAGTTTACTTATCTGTAGTTGTACTTCATTTATTTTTAAAATACAAAATAAGCTTTTACAATTGAATTGCTTTAAATCTACCCTCAATTATTACTCAAGTTTAAAAAGTCACACACCAACTCCCCCCGCCCAAAAAGTCACATATATGGCCTTAATTTTAAGGTTCCCTATGACAATGTATATTATCAAAAATGGCATTACTGATTTCACTCAGAATTTAGGGAAATAAGCATACATTTAGAATTTTTAAGAAAATAGTCCACTTTAGTTCATTGTTGATAAATAACAATAATCACAGAATGTTCTGAGCTGGATTAACAAATTCATCTTAGATCTGAAAACACAAACCAAATAACTCTTTCCAAATCCTATGCCCTATAAGATTATCCTGGCAGGGCGTGGTGGCTCACGCCTGTAATCCAAGCACTTTGGAGGCCAAGGCGGGTGGATCACCTGAGGTCGGGAGTTCAAGACCAGCCTGACCAACATGGTGAAACCCCATCTTTAAGAAAAAAAAAAAAAAATTATCCAAAGAATGTTCAAGAATCTATAGAAATTCCCCCAGAATCACTTGCCCACATTCCAATGCAAACTACAACAAAAGTTTAAAACATTGAACTTCTGGCAGGGCGCAGTGACTCACGCCTGTAATCCCAACACTTTGGGAGGCCGAGGCGGGCAGATCACGAGGTCAGGGGTTCAAGACCAGCCGCGCCAAAATGGTGAAACCCCGTCTCTACCAAAAATACAAAAAAAGTTAGCAAGGCATGGCGATGCGCGCCTGTCATCCCAGCTACTGCGGAGGCTGAGGCAGGAGATTCGCCTGAACCCTGGAAGCAGAGGTTGCAATGAACCGAGATAGTGCCATTGCACTCCAGCCTGAGAGAAGCAAGAATCTGCCTCGAGGTGGGGGAAAACCACTGAACTTGAACTTCTCTACATCTTTTCCCATTCACTGAACAAGAATAATTTAACTGGCATTCTCGGGCTGTGAGAACTGATTAAATGTTTATGAAGTACTTTAGGACAATGAAGGGAAACCACTGTAACCATAAAATGTCATATTTGCTTAATGCAAAACTATAGCTACCTGTTAGCTATAGCTGCAAATCCAATCCTCACAATTCTTTTGCGTCTCCCTAACACAGAAAATCTTCAGTGAGACATGTATTCAGTAAGGTACACGCATTTAATGAGCTAGTCTAGCAACCTCAGAAAAATGAATTTTCTTCCAAATCTTTGCTTTCTCACAGGCCATGTCACTCTCCAAGCCAATTCTTTGCAAAGAGAACATGATCTGATTCATATGGAGAAGTCAGGTCTGGTTATTGATAAGCCAATACCAAATGACTGAAGACTATGAGGAATCACAGAACTTTGTTAACATACCAGAAATGTGACTCCTGAAAATAATCCCAGAAAACAGGCGTTCTAACAAGCGCTTTAAAGGGAAAGTCCCTACACTCTTACAGAAAGAACTCTAAAATGTTTTTAGACAGTGGAGACAGAAGACTCATCTCGCTCAAAGATTAAACTTAATTCATTAGGTAGTTCTAGCACCTGCCTGGTGTTGGGCGACCAATGACTAGGGCAACTGCTCAGGAAAAGTGCTGATGCCATCTCCAGCTGCCCCTTTCGTGAATGACAGTAACAATGCAAACACTAACAAAAGAACTGGGAGCCCCCCCTCCCCAGCCCCTGCTTAACAGTACTGTACTTCCACCCCAGCCCCAGCATACAAAGCGACAAATCCCTGAAAGGCCCTCCTCTGACAGATCTCCCCATGCAGAAACCTTTCTGGTAACGTGAAAAAGTGCTACCCTTCACTCCTTGCAAGACAGCGGAGCCCTTTAAAGGTGCGCAGAAACGCTGCCTCCTTCTCCAGCGCCAGAGCCACCGGGCGAGAAGACTTCCTCTCCGGCTGCGGGCGCGGGGGCTCGGGGGCAGACCGACAGAACTCCCTCTGGGAGAGGGCGCTCCCCGGACCGCCGGCGGGGAAGGCAGGGAAAATGGGAGAGAAAAGGAAAGGGTCCCTGGCTCAGCAGAAGGGCGGAAGGTCGCTGCCCTGAGGCATGGGGAAGCGGGGCTCGGCGCCGGGCACACAGTCCTTCCTGGGGGTGGCAGGGGCCGGCCGCCCGCTTCCCGCGAGCCGGAGGCAGCGACAAGTCGGCTCGGGTCCGGGAGCACGTTCCTTCCTCGAGCCTGGTCCCGAGGGAGGGCACAGGCTGCCGAGGCGACAACTCTCCCTCTCGCCCAACTCCGGCGAGCGTGAGGCCGGCCGTCCCTGGGCTGCCCGCACGGGTTGCCCGCCACCCGGATGGGGGAGGCGGCGAGGCCGGCCTCGGCTCGCTCCCTCCCCACGCGGTCCGCGCCCGGCGGCCCGTCCGCGCCCTCGTCCCCGCCCGCCGCCGCCGCGGGGCCGGGCCGCCGACCTCGGCCAGCCGGGCGCGGGGCCAGGCGGCGGCGGCAGCGGGCGGGCCGGCGGCCTGGGGCCCTACCTGAGGCTGTGTACCAGCTCCCGGCGTGACTGGCTTCCCGGCAGACCACTCGGTTGGACATCTTGGTGCCTGTGCCGCCTATGGTGCACGAGGATGAATGAGGAGGCGGCGGCGGCGGCGGCAGGAGCGGCTCCGCGAGGGGACGAGACACCGCGGGCCCAGCCCAGGAGGAGGCGGCAGCGGGGAGGGGATCAGCCCGGCCCAGGAGGAGGAGGAAGAGGAGGAGGCGGCGGCCCAGGAGGAGGAGATGGCAGCCGGGGCGGTGGCGGCAGCAGCAACAATCACCACAAACTCCGGCGACCGCCGGAAGATGGGGCCCACGGCGGCTTCACCGAAGCCCGGAAAGCCCTGGCCCCAGCCCCCGGCGTCGCCGCTGCTGCCCAGCCGGGGCTGGTTCCGCCGAGCCGCCCCCACGGCCCCCCTCCCCTCCCAGCTGGCCTCCCCGAGCCACCGCCGGTGACCCCACCCCCGTGACTCCGCGCCCGCCCCCCACCCCCCGCGGGGCTCCCCGCACCCACCCCCACCCCTGGCAGGGCCCTCCAGCCCGGCCGCCCGCCGCCGGCCCCGCCCCGCTCCTCCTCCCGGCCGCTCGGCGAGGTTAACAGCGGAAAGCGGACAGGCCGGACGGCATCTGGGGTCGGGCAGCCCCGCGAGGAGGCAGCGGTGGCTGCAGCTCCGCGCACACAAAAGCCCAGGGCCGGGGCCTGAACCGGGGAAGGCAGACCCGGAGAAGAGCCAACGCTTCCTTACTCGCCACTCTAACGGGTCCTGCCCACTGAGCATGCCCAGCACCGCTGCCAGGCCCGCCGAGGAATCTCAACGTGCACGCTCCGCTCTCCGGGGTTTAGCGGCAGCAGAGGCTGGGAGGTGGGGGCAGGGCGCGGGGAGCAGGACGCAGCCGCAAGGCAAGCCCCCTCCCCCAGCCAACTTCCTCAAATGGAGAGCACCTAGGGCTCGTGGATGCGGCTTTCCACGAGGACAGTCCTGGTGGTATTTCCCCATCATACACAGGCATCTTCCATGGATTCGCACCCCCAAGATCTCATTCCTAGGGTGGCCACGCCAGGAAGTTCATTTGTAGAAGCAGGCACGTGGTAAAGTGTGCCTGTGGTCCTGCAAATGCTAGTTTTTGCTTCACAGGGTCACCCTTACCACCTAATGGGGGCTTTGACACTGTAACCATTTATCTTGTTTCATGCTGTATTTATGTAGGTGCATGTCTTATCTCCCTAACTAAAGTGTTTGATATAACTAGCCTCAGTTATCCTCAACTGTAAAATGGGGACACTCAAGGAGTGAGTGCTGAATGTGAAGAGCCTGACAGGGAAAGCATACAACAAATATCATTTCCACCCTTGTCATCTTATAAATCCCAGTATTCCACATAAATATCAGGAATAAAGAATTTATTTACAATTGTGTAAGAATCACAGTAAAGGAGGCTATATCTTGGACCTCCGAGGAAGTGTTATTGTTACAAAGTACACCATTGCAAAAGTAGGAATACAGGAAGAGAAAGTTGCATACATCCAATGAAAGTTTTGGGGCAAACACTATAAAATGTAACTCCATAGGCATGGTACCTCCTGCCTATAATCCCATTACTTTGGGGGCCTGAGGCAGTAGGATTGTTTGAGGCCAGCGGTTTGAGACCAGCCTGGGGAACATAGAAGACCCTGTTTCTATACTTTTTTTTTTAAATCCGGGCATGGTGGCTTCACCTGTGGTCCTAGCTTTGGGAGGTGGAGGTGGGGGGATCACTTGAGCCCAGGAGGTCGAGGCTACAGTGAGCCATGATCACACCACTGCATTCCAACCTGGGCAACGTAGCAAGACCCTGTCTCAAAAAAGAAAAGAAAAAAATGTTATATCTGAGTTTCACACTAAAGAGGCCCCTGACAGAATCCAAAGTAGAAAACTAGCTGTCTAATATTCTAGTTTACTTTTTCTTTTTAAAGGTCTATTCTGTTTCCTCTCCCCCTCCTACCTTCTCCACCTTTAGGGTCCAAGGGATTTTGTGCAAAATCCCTGTCCTAAAGCCTAGTCAATTACTAGAGCACTTCTAACTTTCATGCCTTTTTCTAATTAGGCTAAAATCTCTGCTATTTATTTGTTTACTCAACTTTTACTCTCTCACTTCACCACTAACCTGCACAAAATATGCAACAAAAAAATGGACATACCATGTAGCCAAAGCCACTTTTTTTTGGGGGGGATGGAATTTCTCTGTTAGCCCAGGCTGGAGTGCAGTGGTGTGATCTTGGCTAACTGCAACCTCTGCCTCTCAAGTTCAAGTGATTCTCTTGCCTCAGCCTCCTGAGTAGCTGGGATTACAGGTACCCGCCACCATGCCCAGATAATTTTTTGTATTTTTAGTAGAGACAGAGTTTCACCATGTTGGCCAGGATGGTCTCGAACTCCTGACCTTGTGATCTGCCCGCCTCAGCCTCCCAAAGTGCTGGGACTACAGGCATGCACCATTGTGCCCGGCCCGATGCCAATTTAGAGGTAACAGAAAAAGGAAGGGTGGAGTTCTAGTTACATGGTACTCTTCTGAGAGTACCAAAACTCAGTGATTATTGATGAAATGGTAAACTTTTTGTTGTAAGTTTCAAAAAAAAAAAAAGAAAACTGTCCTAAGTGCTTCTATGATGACAGTTCTTATAGTTATTTGTTGCTGATTTTGTTTCTATGGAAAAGAGGTTTAGGGTGTGGAGAGGGGGCAGGGATTGGATACAATGAAACAAAGAAAGCTTATTATTTCAGGCCCTTCAAATTAGAAAGTCAGATTTGAGTCCTGGCTCTGTCATCCATCAGCTGTGTAACTATGGGCATCTAGTAATTTAACCTTTTCAAGCCTCAGTGTTATCTGTCAAATGCAAACAGGAGTAATATCTAACTCATAGGCTTGCTGTGAGGATGATTAAGTTATGTTAACATGCTTCATTAGCTGTTCTTTATAAATATTTGTTATTCTTCTTATCCTCTGCTCCTAGCAACAATCCTAGGTCTCATTCCAAACTAGTAATCTGATTTAAAATTCTGCTTTCTCCCTATTAAAATGCTCTACTGAAATTTTCTTGCTGGTCAAACTGAATAAAGACCACAATGCCATTGAACTGAAAGGTTAACAGATACTTCATGGCTCTCAATATATGCCACAATTATTCCCCTGTCTACCTTATTCTAGCTACCTTACTCTAGTATGCTCTTGAAAAAAGTTGAAACTATTCATTTTATTCATCTCCCCTAAATTAAGGAAAATTCATATAATGTAAAATACTTACTTTGTATTTTAGGAGAAGCTTATTTGGCAATACTGTACAAATCCTCATGTTATTATCAACAATTTCCATTATATCAACCAGTGATTTTGGTTTGACACTCCATAACAATTATTCATAGTAGAGGGCAAGGAGGAAACCTTTATTAACAGACAATCCTTATGAAGCACAAACTTCAAGAACTAAGAAAGAAGGCCGGGAGCAGTGACTCACACCTGTAATCCCAACACTTTGGGAGGTCAAGGCAGGTGGATCATGAGGTCAGGAGTTCAAGACCAGCCTGGCCAACAGGGCAAAACCTCACATCTACTACAAATACAAAAATTGGCGAGGTACGGTGGTGGGCGCCTGTAATCCCAGCTACTCAGGAGGGTGAGGCAGGAGAATTGCTTGAACCTGGGAGGTAGAGGTTGCAATGAGCTGATATCGTGACATTGCACTCCAGCCTGGGTGATAAGAGCAAGGCTCCATCTCAAAAAAAAGAAAAGAAATAAGAAGGCACCATTAGATCCCAGAACCCAACATTAATACACATTAATATACATGCTTCTGAAACAGTATGTCCACTATTTACTGCAGCAGTCTGTAGTAGCAAACAACTACAAACAACCACAATGTCCATCAATGTGAAACTTGTTAAATTAGGATATACACATACACCCATTGTGGCTGGGCACAGTGGCTCAAGCCTGTAATCCCAGCACTTTAAAAGGCTGAGGCAGGAGGATCACTTGAGGTCTGGAGTTCGAGACCGGCCTGAATAACACAGCAAGACCAA